TGCAATGACGGCTGAAATCAGCTGACGCCGTTTGGATTGCAACCTCACACACACACACACACAGTGTAAATACACACATGTAAACACACGTGTTTCCCCTGCATACACACACGTGGAAATATACGTGTTCCCCCTATAAACACTCACGCGTAAACACAACACGTGTTTAGCCCCCCGATACACAATGACAAAACATCCCCGTATAGCGTCAGCCGACTGCAGGGGCAAGTGCCGTTAGCGAGTAGCATCGCCGATGAAGGCCGGGGCATGACAAGACGAGGTGATTGGTCGGTGGTGGTGTGGCAACCACAAGGCCCGGTCAGTAAGAAGATCTCCCCACACACGCGTAGTGACAGCGAGCACGCATGGCGTGGCGTTGTACGAGGCAAGCGATGAGCAAAGCAATGAGATGCCACAGGTACACGAGGCGTGAGACGGGGAAAGTGCGAGATTGACACGGTGGAGAGAGCAGAGGGGGACGAGGGGACACGTCGAGAGACATCGAACGGTGAGACGGCGAGTGGGAAAGAAAGACAACAGAGGTTTAGTGCGTGGGGTATGAGCGATTTGGTGTGCGGGATAGAGTCGAAGAGAGTAAACTCGGGAGAAGAGCAGACTTGGATGAAGGAGATCACCCAAAAGCAAGCAGAGAGAGTGTGTGTGGAGAGGGGGGGTCACGGCTTAATAAGAATAACAGGAGGCATCAGAGAGAGAGCGTTGCAAAGGGGGAATGATGCAGTGAAACGTGGAGGTATGGAACTAGAGATTTGTAGCGGGGAAGAGCATGAGGGGTGTAGGTGAAGAGAGTAAACACGGCGGGGGTGCAGTGACGTGCAGGCATGAGACGCAAGAAAGTGTGGCAGGGTGATACGTGTGGCAGGGTGACACGCGTGGCAGGGTGACATGTGTGTGGGAATGAACGAGTGGTGAGAGTGAGACAGAGCCGGTGTAAGAGATGGCAGGAGAGTGTGTGTGAATGAACGAGTGGTGAGTGGAGAGAGAGTGTGTGAATGAACGAGTGGTGAGTGGAGAGAGAGCCGGTGTACGAGATGGCAGGAGAGAGTGTGTGAATGAACGAGTGGTGAGTGGAAAGAGAGTGTGTGAATGAACGAGTGGTGAGTGGAGAGAGAGAGTGTGTGAATGAACGAGTGGTGAGTGGAGAGAGAGAGTGTGTGAATAAACGAGTGGTGAGTGGAGAGAGTGTGTGAATGAACGAGTGGTGAGTGGAAAGAGAGTGTGTGAATGAACGAGTGGTGAGTGGAGAGAGAGAGTGTGTGAATGAACGAGTGGTGAGTGGAGAGAGAGAGTGTGTGAATAAACGAGTGGTGAGTGGAGAGAGTGTGTGAATGAACGAGTGGTGAGAGAGAGTGTGTGAATGAACGAGTGGTGAGTGGAGAGAGAAAGTGTGAATGAACGAGTGGTGAGTGGTGAGAGAGAGTGTGTGAATGAACGAGTGGTGAGTGGAGAGAGAAAGTGTGAATGAACGAGTGGTGAGTGGAGAGAGAGAGTGTGTGAATAAACGAGTGGTGAGTGGAGAGAGTGTGTGAATGAACGAGTGGTGAGAGAGAGTGTGTGAATGAACGAGTGGTGAGTGGAGAGAGAAAGTGTGAATGAACGAGTGGTGAGTGGTGAGAGAGTGTGTGAATGAACGAGTGGTGAGTGGAGAGAGAGAGTGTGAATGAACGAGTGGTGAGTGGTGAGAGAGAGTGTGTGAATGAACGAGTGGTGAGTGGAGAGAGTGTGAATGAACGAGTGGTGAGTGGTGAGAGAGTGTGAATGAACGAGTGGTGAGTGGAAAGAGAGTGTGTGAATGAACGAGTGGTGAGTGGAGAGAGAGTGTGTGTGAATGAACGAGTGGTGAGTGGAGAGAGAGAGTGTGTGAATGAACGAGTGGTGAGTGTAGAGAGAGTGTGTGAATGAACGAGTGGTGAGTGGAGAGAGAGAGTGTGTGAATGAACGAGTGGTGAGTGTAGAGAGAGTGTGAATGAACGAGTGGTGAGTGGAAAGAGAGTGTGTGAATGAACGAGTGGTGAGTGGAGAGAGAGTGTGTGTGAATGAACGAGTGGTGAGTGGAGAGAAGAGAGAGTGTGTGAATGAACGAGTGGTGAGTGGAGAGAAGAAAGAGAGTGTGAATGAACGAGTGGTGAGTGGAGAGAGAGTGTGTGAATGAACGAGTGGTGAGTGGAGAGAGAGAGTGTGTGTGAATGAACGAGTGGTGAGTGGAGAGTGTGTGAATGAACGAGTGGTGAGTGGAGAGAGAGTGTGTGTGAATGAACGAGTGGTGAGTGGAGAGAAGAGAGAGTGTGTGAATGAACGAGTGGTGAGTGGAGAGAGAGTGTGTGAATGAACGAGTGGTGAGTGGAGAGAGAGAGTGTGTGTGAATGAACGAGTGGTGAGTGGAGAGAGTGTGTGAATGAACGAGTGGTGAGTGGAGAGTGTGTGAATGAACGAGTGGTGAGTGGAGAGAGAGAGTGTGTGTGAATGAGTGAGTGGTGAGTGGAGAGTGTGTGAATGAACGAGTGGTGAGTGGAGAGAGAGAGTGTGTGTGAATGAACGAGTGGTGAGTGTAGAGAGAGTGTGTGTGAATGAACGAGTGGTGAGTGGAGAGAGAGTGTGTGTGAATGAACGAGTGGTGAGTGGAGAGAGAGAGTGTGTGTGAATGAGTGAGTGGTGAGTGGAGAGTGTGTGAATGAACGAGTGGTGAGCGGAGAGAGAGAGTGTGTGTGAATGAACGAGTGGTGAGTGGAGAGTGTGTGAATGAACGAGTGGTGAGTGGAGAGAGAGAGTGTGTGTGAATGAACGAGTGGTGAGTGGAGAGAGAGTGTGAATGAGTGAGTGGTGAGAGACAGAGTCGGTGTAAGAGATGACAGGAGAGAGTGTGGGAACGAGTGAGTGGCGAGTGTAGAGAGAGTGTGTGAATGAACGAGTGGTGAGTGGTGAGAGAGAGTGTGTGAATGAACGAGTGGTGAGTGGAGAGAGAGTGTGTGAATGAACGAGTGGTGAGTGGAGAGAGAGAGTGTGTGTGAATGAGTGAGTGGTGAGTGGAGAGAGAGTGTGTGAATGAACGAGTGGTGAGTGGAGAGAGAGAGTGTGTGTGAATGAACGAGTGGTGAGTGTAGAGAGAGAGTGTGTGAATGAGTGAGTGGTGAGTGGAGAGAGAGAGAGTGTGAATGAACGAGTGGTGAGTGGAGAGAGTGTGTGTGAATGAACGAGTGGTGAGTGTAGAGAGAGAGTGTGTGAATGAACGAGTGGTGAATGGAGAGAGAGAGTGTGTGTGAATGAGTGAGTGGTGAGTGGAGAGTGTGTGAATGAACGAGTGGTGAGTGGAGAGAGAGAGTGTGTGTGAATGAACGAGTGGTGAGTGGAGAGTGTGTGAATGAACGAGTGGTGAGTGGAGAGAGAGAGTGTGTGTGAATGAGTGAGTGGTGAGTGGAGAGTGTGTGAATGAACGAGTGGTGAGTGGAGAGAGAGAGTGTGTGAATGAACGAGTGGTGAGTAGAGAGAGAGTGTGAATGAGTGAGTGGTGAGTGGAGAGAGAGAGTGTGTGTGAATGAGTGAGTGGTGAGTGGAGAGTGTGTGAATGAACGAGTGGTGAGTGGAGAGAGAGAGTGTGTGAATGAACGAGTGGTGAGTGGAGAGAGAGTGTGAATGAGTGAGTGGTGAGAGACAGAGTCGGTGTAAGAGATGACAGGAGAGAGTGTGGGAACGAGTGAGTGGTGAGTGGAGAGAGTGTGTGAATGAACGAGTGGTGAGTGGTGAGAGAGCCGGTGTAAGATATGGCAGGAGAGAGTGTGTGAATGAACGAGTGGTGAGTGGAGAGAGACAGAGCCGGTGTAAGAGATGGCAAGAGAGTTGAGACATCGTGTGTTGAGCAATCGGTGCACGGGCCGCGTGGGTCGGGAGCGAGGAAGAGAGCGGGGCTAGAGGCATGGACGGTGCTGCAAGGAAGTGCACGGGAGGCGATGGGGCCGAGGTGCGTAGCCAGCGAGTGAAAGACCCATCAGCAGCAGAGATCACAGTCGAGTACAGCACCAGAGAGAGAGACACAGAGAGAGAGACACTGAGAGAGACACAGAGAGAGACACAGAGAGAGACACTGAGAGAGACACAGAGAGAGACACTGAGAGAGACACAGAGAGACACAGAGAGACACAGAGAGACACTGAGAGAGACACAGAGAGAGACACTGAGACACAGAGAGAGACACTGAGAGAGACACAGAGAGACACACACAGAGAGAGAGTTAAGAGAGTTGAGTGGCATTGCACGCGTGGCGGAAGAGAGTGAGAGAGTGAGAGAGAGAGAGGAGATGGTGCAGCAGGGGGACATGGGAAGAGCAGCAGGAGCGACACCGAGAGAGCTGCAGACACCCAGAGGGGAGGGAGACGAGTCAACCTGCAGCAGGAGCAGCAGCAGGAGCAGCAGCAGCAGGAGGACACACAGCGGAGCATGCATGGAGTGAGGAGAGAGATGACGGACATCACGGGGGGGGGGGTGGAGGGGGGTGCTAACAGCTGGAGACACCGACAGAGGTGCAGACACCGAGAGAGGAGACGAGTCAACCTGCAGCAGGAGCAGCAGCAGGAACAGCAGCAGCAGGAGGCCACACAGCGGAGCATGCATGGAGTGAGGAGAGAGATGACGGACATCACGGGGAGGGGGGTGCTAACAGCTGGAGACACCGGGAGAGGTGCAGACACCGAGAGAGGAGACGAGTCAACCTGGAGCAGCAGCAGGAGCAGGAACAACAGCAGCAGGAACAGCAGCAGGAGCAGGAGGACACACAGCGGAGCATGCATGGAGTGAGGAGAGAGATGGCAGTGACGGACATCACGGGGGTAGTGGAGATGAGGGGGGGGGGGGCGCGCTAACAGTGCAGACACCGGCGGAGCAAGCGATGGCAGCTGTCGGAGAGAGAGACAAACACGGCGGTGAAGAGGGGGGGGGGGAGACGACAGACAGAGAGAAGAGAGAGAAGAAATGGAGCCGTGGCCACGCACCGACTCCTCCTCTCGCTCCATGCCCGTGGGCATCTGCGGCACGGCGCGGCTGATGGAGACGGCGTCCTGCAGGTCGGGCAGCGCCTCGGCGCGGAACACGGGGAGCGGCTTCGAGGCGTCCAGCGCCCGGGCGCGGAACGACAGCTTGCTGCTCATGTCTCCGCTTGGTTTCTAACCCCCCCCAAGCTAAAACAACAACACAAAGACGGTGGCGGTGGTGGCGCCTCCACCTCCCCCCCCGTGAGGCTTCCCCCCCGATCCCCCCCGCCCCGGCCCGGGGGGTCCCGCCTCACGGCTCCTTTAGGCGGCCGCTCGCCCCGGCGTCCATGATCGTGGCGACGGCGACGGCGGGTGTTGTTGCGAATCGATGGCCGGGGTGGTGGTGGTTGCGGATGGTCGTCGTTTTGTTGTTGTTGTGTTTTTTTTTTGGTCAAGACGCTCGAGGTATAATAAAAAAAAATCTGTGCTCGGGTTTCGGTTCGTGTCTGATTCCCCCCCCCCCGTGTGCCCCCCTTTTGTCGCGCGCTCTCTCTGCTCCCGCTGCTCCTGCTGCTGCTACTACCCCCCCCCCAGCTTCGCTCCCTTCGGTTTTTTCTCCCCTCTAGCGGAGAGACGCCATTACAAGATGGCGGCGGCGGCGGCGAAAAAAACTTCCCGCCCCTGGAGCACGCGCGGCGCGAGCCCCCCCCACCGCGCATGCGCGCGCTGTGACGTCACCCCGCAAAACACTCCCCCCCCCCATCCGCCCCACCACCACCCACACAGCTGCACCGCGTATGCGCGCGCTGTGACGTCACCTCGCAAAATACACCCCCCCCCACCCACACAGCTGCATCGCGCATGCGCGCGCTGTGACGTCACCCCGCAAAACACTCCCCCCCCCACCACCACCCACACAGCTGCACCGCGTATGCGCGCTGCTGTGACGTCACCTCGCAAAACACACCCCCATCCATCCACACCCCCTACCACCCCCACCGCGCATGCGCGCGCTGTGACGTCACCCCGCAAAACACTCCCCCCCCACCACCACCCACACAGCTGCACCGCGTATGCGCGCGCTGTGACGTCACCTCGCAAACACACCCCCCCCCATTCACACCCCTACCACCCACAGCCGCATCGCGCATGCGCGCGCTGTGACGTCACCACGCAAAACACACCACACCCCCCCCCCTAACTCCACCCCCCGGGCGTGTTGCTCAACGATTAAAACCACCCCAATTTCCTCCTCGGAGCGGATGACGTCACGGAGGGGGGGGGGGGTTTAAAATGACGTCACGTAAACGCCGCTGTTTGTGGAAGGGGCGGGTGACGTCATCGCACAGAAAGTGACGTTATGCGGAAGAATTGGGGAAATCGGGGGGGGGGGGGGCAGTGGGAAGGTCGCGGATCTGCCTTTCGGGTGGGGGGCCGGCGTGGAATTGTACAAAGTGACGTCACGCGTGGGGATGAAGTTTGTTGTTGACACGGCGGATGATGTCACGGTCCGGCTGCAAGCTGGTGGGCAACGTCACGTCTGGTTCAAATTGACGTCACGTCTGGTTCAAAAATGACGTCACTTCCGGCTCTGATACTTGTTCCAGGGTCGACACGTCACAATAACTCGGTCGGCGGGAAGATTCGACGGTTGATGACGTCACAAACGGCTTGTCGGTTGACAAATGACAAGTCGACCATGACATCACAAACAGGCTCGCGACTGCTGTGACGTCACGATCATAATTACACGAGGCAGCGTGAAGCGACGTCATTTTGTTAAGGAAACTGGACAAGTGATCGCTTGGCAACTTGTTAATAACCCAAGACTACGTCACAAGTCTTCTTGGTTCTTTCGGTAAAGTCACGTAGAATGGAAATAATAAAAATAAAATAATAAAATAATTCTCACGACGTTTCGGCCACAACGCAAGCAGCCGTCCTCAGGTGAAACCAGGTCTGTCGAGGCGACAGCGTCTGAACCTTGGGTGGTCAAAACACCAAAAATGGATGTTCACAGATTCAAGAATTGACTAGGGGAGTGGGAATGCATCGACTCGCGATCGCCGGCCGGTCAGCGAAGACGACCGAGGCAACCTAAAATTATACTTTTTTTTAATTCCAAATCTGTTACATCAAAAAATAAAACACGTTACAATTATACCGTTAAAAATCTGCGAATCGCCATATATACACTTCATGAGACGCGGGGGGGTTGGGGTGAGGGGGCCGCGTCTTACACCCTCACCGTTCACCGATAACCGTGTCTCTGCGCAATCCGCACAGTCGGCGAGACCCCCAAAGTACCGTGGAACTCCACCACCTCGCACACGCAGAGAAAAGGTGTGCGGGGAAGGTTATGGAATAATCATCCTAAGAGACCTGCCCCCACCCCCCATCCCCGGCCGTGTCCCAGTAACCAACATTGACAAACGTTGGGTCAACGTTTGGCAATGTTATTGTTGGAACCGTTGGTCGAACACGTTGTGGCCCCGCAATAAGGACGTTCCAAGTTTACGGAGGGGACGTGGTGGGGTGGGGTAATAATGCTTTAAAACAACGGAGAGGTGCGAAAACATTCAAAAAGAAAAAAACAAAAGTGAGATTTTTTTCTCTTCTTAGAAAAAGATGGGTGGGTGGGTCGGTGGTTTTTAAATTTGGCGCAAAAAACAGCGAGCGCTTGGGGCTGGCCAGGCGACGGCTGGGATTGACGCGTTACCTCCGCAAGCCCCGTCCGTGTCCAGCCAACGAAAATAATTACAAGGAGAAATGAAAAACTTTTAAATATAGGAGGAGAAAAGAAACTGCTTTGTGTGTTTTAGAATTTTTTTTTCACACGTGGCCAAGTCTTAAGGAGAGAGAGGAGGAGGAGGAGGAATCTATGGAGGATTCTGGAATAAAAAAAATCGCCAAAGGTTTTGAAGAAGTTTGAAAATGTGGCGTCTAGATTTTTGCCCAAAGAAGTAGTTCCTCGAAACGAACTAGTCCCCTGTGGACGAAGCCCCCCGCGCGTACGACGAGAGGGGAGAGAGAGAACGCTTAATCCCCGTGGTGAAGATCGGTCTAAATGAGTACGTACATACTTGCTGCGCTGCCGTCAGCCATCGACGCAGGAGGCAATACCCCTGGGGGGCTGATGGGGCCATCTCACGAGCACATCGTCGTATCGCGCCACGCGTATCACCTGCCCCCCACCTCACCACTCCACAACCGGAGACTCGGGGTGGGGGGGTAACCGTAAAAGCAGATCAGCTTTCTCACCCCACCGCCCCCGGTCGCCCCACCGGCGTGAAAAACAAATCTGGAGCAGGAAATTATTTTCAACCCTTGGAAACCCCCCCCCCCCCCCCCCACGTCCGTTAGCACCTATGCAGACCGGCCACTTTAGAGAGTGCGCGCAGACCGACTTAATTTGTGAAGCAAATGAAACACACGTCGTTAGTTAGTTGTTGTTCGCTCGCCGCCGTGCGATCTACGCCATCAAACAAAAGAAACAAAAAAAATCGCTCCCAAAAACAAACAAAAATTCGCGGGCGGGCAAACGAACGCACTCCGTCCGCTTGGCGAGTCCCGATGCTTTCTCGTCTACAAAAAAATAAAAATCGGCCATCGTAATAATACAGCAGTATCATAACAAATGTGTACACCGTTTATACAGCGGGGGTTAATCTCACCGAATCACTCGCTCTCCTCTTTCGCCCTCTCTGCAGCAGGCTTGAAGCGGAGTCCGCGGTGCACTGTGTGCAAAAACCTCACGTCCGCCAGTGTAAGAACGCGCGGACGACACATCCCATACAGCACCTCCTTGCATCCGCGCAATCACAGAAAACCCATTTCTCCACGAGCCCTTACTCAACTACAGCGCTGCGATTGGGGAGGGAGGTAGGGCAGGTCAGGGGAAGGTTCGCGAGTTCAACGGAGTTGACCGTTGACGCTCCAAAACAAAAACAGGGGAGCCCGTCACCGTCACCCCCCCCCCTTCCTCCATCAGGAAATGCCCCCAAAATAACATTCCCTCTCTCCACCAAGGGTCCTCTCGACCACGTAGGTTTTGTTGTTGTTGTTGCCGTCTGGCGGTTGTGCTGCTGCTGCTGCTGCTGCAACGGCTCTCCGTGCGCTTCCCGTGGTGCTATTGTCCGGCCGTCTGTCCGACGTTGTGACGCCATCCACGTGCTGGGCAGCGTTCCTCGGGTACAACCGTGAAGAAAAAAAAAACATCGGGGAAGATCCTCTCCCCCGCGCCCTCGTAACCGTCACAACCGCCATGCGGCTTCTTACTGCGTGGTCGGGGGGGGGTGAGCGGTTCGTGTGCGGCGCCAATCAGAGGAGAGGGTGGGCGGCAGCGCGGTGCCGGTCGAACCGAGGCCGGGGATCGCACCCAGCAGGACCGGCGTGGCTTATCGTGTCCACCGTTTTTGCTGTGGCTGCCGAGAAGGCGGCGGTCGGCCTTTCCCGACCGACGGCACGACCAGACAAAGCGACCTCGGCGTCGTATCCTGGTGCCGTCGCACGAAGGGGAATGCGTCACACATCGTCGAAGTGAACGGGCCGGGTTGGAAGGGCGGTCGTTTCTGAAGGTCGCCTCCCGCATCTGCTCAACGCCCGCTGCGCGAGAGGGGGCCGGAGGAGCCGGAGTTCGCGCCCCCCGCGGAACGGAATGTCAAAAGCTCAAGTAGTGTGGTGTGCCCTCGGGTCAAGGGGGTCGGAGATCGGCGGGTCTTGGTGGACGAGGGTCATCTGGATATCTTCCGCCGCTTGGCTCCCTTGGGGGTCTTGTCCGAGCGCCCCTTCGGCTGCTCGTCCGCCTGCGGTAAAGGAAGCACAAGCGCACGCACACACGCAGTGTGAGTAGGGACGCACGCACAGTCGCTTCAACAAGCAACCATCTGCCCGGACACACAGACGCCATGCGTCGCTCCCCGCACCCCAGTCTCATCCCAGTTCAAACTTAAAACTCGCTTGCACAACATTTGAAGCCGTTGCAGCCAAGACCAGCTCTGCACGAACCGGCGGTGGACGCCACGATCGGTCACTTCCGGGTTAGACGCGTACCCGTTACCTTTCCTTGAACCAGGGCCGCCACTCAAACCACACTACGGCGCTCATTGGCAACGCTCCGTCGAGAGAAAGACGCAAATTGGACTGCCCAGCCTGAGACCAGGCCAAACCACACGCTCACCAGGGAGACAGCCTTCGAAAACCTGCCCTAGAAACCAGATCCAGAGCGGGTCACAGAGGAGGAGGGCCTGGGGAGCCAGCCCTGGACAGGGCCCAGAGGCACCAGGGTCCGAGTTGGGTCACAGATGGGCACCTCCGGTTAGCACGGTTGGCTACATACAGTGCGAAAGAAGTTCACCACATGTACGTACGCACAGCGAGGGTGGGGGTGGGGCGATGGTACGTACAGCCTCTGTCATCTTGTCCAGTTCCGTCATGGCTTCCTGGATGGCAGCCTCAAGGCTGCTGTTCAGCTTCCGGCTCCTGCGAGGTAACGAGCGCACGGTGACGATGGTGGTGATGACGATGGTGGTGGTGGTGATGGTGGTGGTGATGGTGGTGACAATGGTGGTGACGATGGTGGTGACGATGGTGGTGGTGACGGTGATGACGATGGTGGTGGTGACGGTGATGACGATGGTGGTGGTGGTGACGATGGTGGTGAAGATGGTGGTGAAGATGGTGGTGAAGGTGGTGGTGATGACGATGGTGGTGGTGACGATAAGTCGAAGAATATCGATAACAGCACAGGGGTTGCCACGCTTAAATCATCCAACCCCAAGATCAGTTTTAACACATAGGCTTTGGCGACCAATGTTATTCATAGTAAAGGGTTTTTTTGGGGTGAGATCGCGTACATTTATAGGTGTCGTTAACCCACCATTACCCAGCCAATTAGTAAGGTAATTTATATTTTTGCGATCAAACCCAAAAAATGTTTTATTCTTGCCACGTTTTGTTTACATGGCAAGCCTTACTAATTGGATGTGTCGGTCTGTGGTGGGTTATATTTACGCGATTCAACCAAAAACAACATTTTTATATAACCCAAAGGTATTAGCCATCAACAAACTTGCCTACCCCACCTCACTCACCCACCCACCTCACTTATTCAGTCACCAAACCACCCACAAATTCAACCACTCACCCATCCACACGCACTCGTCCGCTCGCCCATCCATTCATTCACCTGCTCACTTACCGACTCACGTACTCACCTCACCCCCCCACTTCCACCAGTGCATCGATCCACTGACCCACACAAACATCTGCCCACTCGCATATCCATCCACTTACCCACCCACCCACCCTATTTTAACAAAACATTTTTGTAATTAAACTTTTATTTTACCAGGTAAGGCCCACTGCGCTACAAAGTTTTTTTCTGGCCACAAATGACAGCTCAACAGAGTGGCTTCTCAAGTGGACATTTATAGCAGCTAAATACTCTGAACGCGTGACGTTGATTCTTAAAATGTGGGGGGGGGGGGGGAAACGGAGGACCTGGAGAAAAATCCACACGGCCACGTGGAGAGACATCATACAAATCCCACTTACTCACTCACTCTCACTGCAGAACAGGGGGAGATCATACAAACTCCACTCACTCACTCTCACTGCAGAACAGGGGAGATCATACAAACTCCACTCACTCACTCTCACTGCAGAGCAGGGGGAGATCATACAAACTCCACCCATTCACACTGCAGAACAGGGTGAGATCATACAAACTCCACTCACTCACTCACGCTGCAGAACAGGGGAGATCATACAAACTCCACCCACTCTCACTGCAGAACAGGGGGAGATCATACAAACTCCACTCACTCACTCTCACTGCAGAGCAGGGGGAGATCATACAAACTCCACTCACTCACTCGCACTGCAGAACAGGGTGAGATCATACAAACTCCACTCACTCACTCTCACTGCAGAACAGGGGAAGATCATACAAACTCCACTCACTCACTCTCACTGCAGAACAGGGGGAGATCATACAAACTCCACTCACTCACTCTCACTGCAGAGCAGGGGGAGATCATACAAACTCCACTCACTCACTCTCACTGCAGAACAGGGGGAGATCATACAAACTCCACTCACTCACTCTCACTGCAGAACAGGGTGAGATCATACAAACTCCACTCACTCACTCGCACTGCAGAACAGGGTGAGATCATACAAACTTCACTTACTCACTCTGTAGAACAGGGGGAGATCATACAAACTCCACTCACTCACTCTCACTGCAGAACAGGGGGAGATTATACAAACTCCACTCACTCACTCTCACTGCAGAACAGGGGGAGATCATACAAACTCCACTCACTCACTCTCACTGCAGAACAGGGGAGATCATACAAACTCCACTCACTCACTCTCACTGCAGAACAGGGTGAGATCATACAAACTCCACTCACTCAGTAGAACAGGGGGGAGATCACACAAACTCCACTCACTCACTGCAGAACAGGGAGAGATCATACAAACTCCACTCACTCACTCAGTAGAACAGGGGGAGATCATACAAACTCCACTCACTCACTATCACTGCAGAACAGGGGGAGATCATACAAACTCCACTCACTCACTATCACTGCAGAACAGGGGGAGATCATACAAACTCCACTCACTCTCACTGCAGAACAGGGGGAGATCACACAAACTCCACTCACTCTCACTGCAGAACAGGGAGAGATCACACAAACTCCACTCACTCACCATCACTTTGCAGAACAGGGGGAGATCATACAAACTCCACTCACTCACCATCACTTTGCAGAACAGGGGGAGATCATACAAACTCCACTCACTCTCACTGCAGAACAGGGGGAGATCATACAAACTCCACTCACTCTCACTGCAGAACAGGGGGAGATCATACAAACTCCACTCACTCTCACTGCAGAACAGGGGGAGATCATACAAACTCCACTCACTCTCACTGCAGAACAGGGGGAGATCATACAAACTCCACTCACTCTCACTGCAGAACAGGGGAAGATCATACAAACTCCACTCACTCACTCTCACTGCAGAGCAGGGGGAGATCATACAAACTCCACTCACTCTCACTGCAGAACAGGGGGAGATCATACAAACTCCACTCACTCTCACTGCAGAACAGGGGGAGATCATACAAACTCCACTCACTCACTGCAGAACAGGGGGAGATCATACAAACTCCACTCACTCACTCACTGCAGAACAGGGGGAGATCATACAAACTCCACTCACTCTCACTGCAGAACAGGGGGAGATCATACAAACTCCACTCACTCACTCACTGCAGAACAGGGTGAGATCATACAAACTCCACTCACTCACTCTGCAGAACAGGGAGAGATCATACAAACTCCACTCACTCTCACTGCAGAACAGGGGGAGATCATACAAACTCCACTCACTCACTCACTGCAGAACAGGGTGAGATCATACAAACTCCACTCACTCACTCTGCAGAACAGGGAGAGATCATACAAACTCCTCTTACTCACTCTCACTGCAGAACAGGGGGAGATCATACAAACTCCACTCACTCACTGCAGAACAGGGGGAGATCATACAAACTCCACTCACTCACGCTGCAGAACAGGGAGAGATCACACAAACTCCACTCACTCACTCTGCAGAACAGGGTGAGATCACACAAACTCCACTCACTCACGCTGCAGAACAAACTGTTTAACACGTTGGCTTAGGCGACCAAATCCACAACATTTACAATGTGGATTTGCTCTCCAACACACAACCGGTGTGCTGTACGAGTAACGAATTGCCACGTTCTCTATATGTGACAAACCTTACCAATTGGCTGCGTCGGGCGGTGGCAGGTTCAACGTACACAACTATTATATTAACACGACCTAACCTGATAAACCAATATTTGATCATACAAACTCCACTCACAAAAAAGCACCAGAGTCACAAATCGAACCCCCCCCCCCGCCACCCTCTCCTGCTGCGAGTTAGGTGTGCGAGGCAGCGGCGAGCGTACTTGCGGTAGCGCTTGCGTGCGCGGTGGTGCGCCTCCAGCCCCTCGGACAGAGTCTTCAACTTCTCGGGCTCCACCTGTGTGAAGCTGTGGTCTCCGAACCACATGACCCACACCTGCGGCACGCGCGCACGGCAACACAGGAAAGGCAAAGGTCCCCCGTGGAGCCTCGGCAGACTGTCGGGGCAAGTGCTCGTTAGCGAACAGCAGCGGCTATTAAGGCCGGCACGGTGGCGCACGATGGGGCGATTGGTGGGCCAGCACCACGCCCGGCCGCCTTTGTCTCCCCAATGACGATGTTTACACAAAGCACTAAGTACTCATTTGAGGCTGAGTCGACCTAGGGGAGGCCCAGGGCCGGTTCAGATAATCGTCACTGATGTTGGCCGTGAGCGGGAATCGAACTCAGGTGGACGGGTTCATAGCGCAGCGCGCTAACTGCTGCACTCCTGCTCCCCACACACACAGACACGCGCGTACACACATGTACCACACACGTACCACACACGTGCGTACGCGTGTCCGCGCGCGCTCCATATGTCCATGTCAGTGTCCACGTGTGTGCGTGTGTGTCAGCACGCCTGTGTACTGGGTGGTGCTCTCCACCCACCCAGTTGCGTGCCGTGCCGGCCTTCAACTGGCCTGGCACAGGCGCCGTGGTGACGTGTACGGTGCCGGTAACGCGTGTGCTCATCGTCGTCATCGTCGTCATCGTCGTCATCGTCGTCATCGTCGTCGTCATAGCAGTGCACCCGCCTGTCCGCGCTGGCGCCGCACCTTGCCATCCTCGGAGCGCGTGGGGTGGGCGCTGCGCACCTCGTCGTGCCGCACCAGCTTGCCGGGCCACGAGGGGAAGCCCTTGATCTGGCCCCACACCAGGTCGCCCAGGTTGAACGTGCGGGGCCCGTAGCGAGCGTCGTGCACCTCGCCGGCCTCGCCGTCCGCGTCGCCGCCCCCGGCGCCGTCGGCGGGCGCCGGGGATCCCGGCGCCCGGCCGCCGTCCTCGTCCTCGTCCTCGCTGAGGCTGCGCGTGTCCGAGGGGCTCGGCGAGCACCCGTTCACCGGCTCCGGGCGCTCGCCGTTGCACGGGAACGCCGGCGCCTCATCCGGCGGCGCCGCCGCGTCCGGCGCCTCCTCCGCGTCGTCGGCCTCGCACGCCGCGGACGCCTCGGGCGGTTCGGGCGGCGTCGGAAGCGGCGGGGTCGGCGCCGTCGCATCCGCCGTCCGGGGGGACGGCGGCGGGCTGGCGGGAGGCGGAGGGGAGGGGAGGCCGGTCTCCGCCGTCGACGCGCTCCGTTCCTCCACGCCTCGCGGGTCGCGCCAGCTTGCCGGGTTTTCGTCGGCAGATGGCGCCGCCGCCACCGCTCGTGGCGACGGAGCGACGGTTTCCTCTCCGCCGGCGGCGGCCTCGCAGGGCGGCGGCGTCGGCAGGGCGAGCGCCGGCGGCGATTGCGGCAGCGACGGAGTCCCGGCCGGGGAAGGAGCGGCCGCGGCCTCGCGCACCGGCTCCGCGGCGCCGTCGCGACTCCGCCAACGCTCGTCAGGTTCTCTCGGCGAGGCGCCGGCTCCTTCGCAGGTACCGCCGCCTCTCTGGTCCGTCTCGTCGGCGCCACGCCGGGGTAAAGTCACGTCGGAGTCGGCGTCCGCCGATTGCGACGTCTCCCGCGGCGCTTCTTCCCCGGCGCCGGTGCCGCCGCCCGCTCCGGCAGGCGTCGGCGCCGGCCGCTCCGGCGAGCGGCTCTGTATCCCGCGTTCCTCCGGCGCGTCTCCCGCCCGCGCCAATTCCCGGAACTCGCACGACTCGGCCGCCGTGTCCGTGCCAAACCCTGGGGGGGCACCGTCGTCCGTCTCCGGTGCAGCCGCCGGCGACGTCACGACAGACTCGGAGGCGCCGGCGCTCGGGACGGGAGGAGACTCGCGGTCCGAGGCAGCGGCAGCAGGGGACGACGCTCGCGCCGGCGTGGAGCCCGGCGCCGGCGACGGCGACCGGTCGGCGCCGGCGGCGTTGCCCAACGGCGACGGGGCGGTGGGCCCGCCGCCCTCGGCCCCGGCGTCCCGGTCCGGTTGGGGCCGCGTCGGGCCGGGCGGCGGAGGGGCCGCCGGCGCGGGGTCCGGACGGTCGCGAGCGGCGGCGCCGTCCGCGGTCGCCGCCTCCGCGGCTCGGCCCACGCCGACCTGGCGGAGGAGGCAGAGATGAGGCCGCGGTTGGGACGCAGGCGGCCCTCGGCGGCACGGCGGAGCGAGGCCCAGAGTCCGGGTCTCTATCCGGGTCTCGGCCGTCCAATGGAGATTAAACCGAGTGGAACGAGCCGATGGTCTCATCATCCCGGTCACCAGCGACGCTTATTTTATATCGATATTAAAGGTGTCAAGGTGCTTAAAGACACGGCGACACGTATTGGTGGACCGGTTTAGATGGCAGGCGGCGTGCGTGCAAGGCCTGGGGAACGAGTGGGTGGCTACTCGGGGATCACAAAGGGATCAGGGCGAGGGGAAGCAGGAGGAGGGGAATGGGCGATGGAGGGGAGGAGGTGAGGATTTACGAGAGGAACGGAAGGAGGTTAAGGAGGAAGGGGGGGGGGGGGGCTGCTCAAGGGTTAGTGGGTCACCACGCGGGGTGAACGGGTGAGATGGTGACGGGGGGGGGGGGTCACTCACCAGGTTGAGGAGGCATGTGGGGAGCAGCATGGAGCCCGGCAGCAGCGGCGCCGTCAGGTCTTGCGAGAGAGCGGCGCTCGCCAGAGCTGGGAGCTCAGCTGGACAGACACGCGCACACGCAGACACACACACAAAGATCCCCCGTGTAGCCTTAACAGACTGTAGGGGCAAGTGCTGTTAGCGAGCACCTATGAAGGCCGGTACGGCACACGAGGAGGTGGGTGGCCAGCACCACGCCCGGCTGCCTTTTTCTCCCCGGCGGCGATGTTTACTACACACCGCACCAGGTACTCATTTCAGGCTGAGTCGACCTAGGGGAGGCCCAGGACCGGTTCAGATAATCGTCACTGGGTGTTGGCCCACGAGCGGGAATCGAACCCGAGTCACCAGGTTCATAGCACAGCGCGCTCACCGCTACACTACCGCTCCCCACACTACACACACAGACACACACAGACACGTGGACACACACGCACGCACACACACGCAGACACACACGCACGCACGCAGACACACACGCACGCACGCAGATACGTGGACACACGTGAACACAGAGGGACACACAAGCTGACACACGTTCACGTACACACACACACACACACACACGTTGACACGCGGATACACAAGCACAAGGACACACGCAGTGACACGCGTCAGGAACAGACGAAACACGTGTGACAATAGCATGGGGGAGGTCGTTCTGGGGTCACGCGCGCCCAGCTGGCCCTGCCGCGATCCTGGGTTTGTAACCGGATATCACGGCCGCCAAATCGAGATTCAACCGGGTCTCTCGCGTGCGCCGAGTAGGCGATGTCGGCCCCGCCATCAACGACTCAAATGTCGACCCAAAGGCTTCTACAGGAGACCCCGAGACCCACACAGGCAGAGTTGCGATGACATCATGTTCTCAAGCGAGTTTACTCCCTGCTCCCTCCATCGCCCATTTCCTCCTCGTCTTTCCACCTCTCATCTCCCCATGCATTCACTTCACACCTCCTGCTCCCCCACAATCTCCCACCTCCTGCCGTCTTCCACCGATGCGCCCAACTCACCGAGGAGGCTTGATGTGAGCAGGGGGCTCAGCAGATGGGGCACGAGCGACGCCGGAAGCTTCTCTGCGCCGGCGCCACCGCCCAGCGCCACCGCGGCCGCTCTCCCGCTCGGCGTCGGCGGCGGCAGCAGCCCCTCGCCGACCCCAACAGCCGACGGCACGGCTCCCGGCGGCGCCTCCGCCGGCCCCTCGCCGGCGCCCCCCGTCGCCGGCAAAGAACAGACGGCTGCGGCGAGGTGCGGCGCCGCAAACTTGCCGGCGCCTCGCTCGTTCTGCTGCTGCGCCGGCGTGGAAACGACCGACTGCCGCCGTTGGCCGTCGTGCGGCGCCGGCGCGGGCCCCGCAGGCGCCGCGCCGGCGGCGGCGTCCTCCTCCGAAGCCGACGTCTCGGCAAGTTCCAACCGCGGCGAAGGCGCCAGCGCCGGAACGTCATCGGCAGGCCGCGCCGGCGGCGCCTCTGCTTCTTCCCGAGGTAGCGCTTCGCCGGCGCCGCACAGCGGGTTGAGCAGCCCCGCCGCGAGCTGCGGCCCCAGCGTCATGAGCGCCGGCAACGACAGCAGCAGCGAGTTGCCGGCCGCCGCCGCCGCCTCCATGGACGCGGCGGCGGTGAGATTGGCGAGGAAGGTGGTGTCGGCGATGGCGCTCGCCAGGCTCGCCGGGTGCTCGCCGAGCGGCGACGGCGCCCCCGCGTCCGGGAACGGCAGGTTCAGCAGCATAGCGCCGAGCCCCTGCGCCGCCACCAGCGCCGCCAGCTGCTGCTGCTGCTGCTGGTGCTGCTGCGCCGTGAGCGCCAGCTGCAAGAGCAGCTGCTGCACCGCTTGCGACTCCGCGTCGGCGCCGGCGGGCAGCGGCGGCAGGGAGAACGCCGCCGGCGCCGACAGCAGCCCGAGGCTCTCGGCGAGGCCGGCGCCGGCGCCGCCGGGCGGCAGCAGCCCCGGGAAGGGCAGCGGGGGCAGCTGCAGGGCGGCGAGCAGCCCGGCCGGCCCGCCGAGCGCCGGCAGAGTCGACTGGCTCAGCAGCGCCAGCTGCTCCTGGGCGAGTAAAGGGAAGGAGCCGGGCAGGGACAGAGCGGGCGCCAGCGCATCCTGGGAGCTGCCGGACGGCGGCTTGGGGGAGGCGGCGCTCGGGTCCTCGGCGATGGCGGCGGCGGCGCCGTCTTCGCCGGACTCTTCTAGCGGTTGCTCCGTCGACGCTTGCGTCGTCCCGTCCGCGCCGGGCTGCTCCTCCGCACCTGGCGAGCGCGCGGCGCAAGCGACGCCGTCGAGGAGGGATGAACGGGTGTTAAGCGCAATCGCTGCGGACGCCGCACAAAGACCGTGGTCGCCGCATCATCGCGCGGCGCTTGCAGGTGCGCTTCTGCGGCCGTCTGGAACGCTCTTCCCTTCCGATGTTAGGAAGTCACTGGGAGCTGCGCACTTTTAAATCGTCTTCGTCGAGATTGACAAACTGCTTTTGTGGTTAGTTTGTTGTTCTCCCCCCCTCCCCGCACCTCCGATTAGTATGGTTGGCTACAGTGCAAATAGAGTTCAACGTACATACGTATGTATGACCGTATTCTCTGGATCACACACAACTTTGCGTTAAAACACAGGGGGGGAGGGGCAAAGCAAGTTTGACAAAGCGGAGAAGCTGATATTAGATATTATCAACAACCATAAGATAGGTTTTTTTTCGGTTCGATCGCGTAAATATAAAATGTCGTTAAACCCGATTGCTGGACTGCACCCGACACAGCCAACTAGTAGGGGTTGTCACGTAAACAGAACATGCCAATTCGTCACTAGTACAGCACTACGGGTGTGTGTTGGAGAGTAAACTTACAATCAGAGTACAACGTTTCGACAGTAATTACAACGAGCTTCTGCCCGATGATGCTAGTTGTAATATGTACGCGATCTAACCCAACAAACCTATATTATTGATATTGGTCGCGAAAGCCTACATGTTAAATTATCCACAACAATTGCCCATTTATGTACCCAGGAAAGCCTAAACGAGTCTCTCGCATTGAGTAATTTTCAGAGTAATTTTTTGTTTTTTCAGCATTAGGATGTCTCGGCCGATAGCGGTTACAATGTATGGAAGGTAAAGTCACGTAGAAGGGAAATAATAAAATAATAAAAATAAAACATAATAAAATAATTTTTTATGCTTTCTTTTTATTATTTTACCGAAAGAACCAAGAAGATGAATCCCTGCAGTCACGAAAGCTTTAAATCGAAATGTATGGAAGGGTTATTTAGCTGTGGGAGGAAAACGGAGAACCAGGAGGTAACCCATGCAGGACAGGGACAACAAGAACACAAACTCCACACACAAAAGGTGCCCAAGGGGCATCGAATCCCCCACTCACTCACTGTGCGGAGCAGGAGAGAACATACAAACAACAACAGCCACCATTCGCCACTAAGTGGCGGTGACGTCATCACGGCGCTTGTGCCAGGCTGTGTGCACTTTGAGGCCACGTGAAGTGTCGAATGCCCACTGGCAGGAGGTCACGGGACAGACCCAAGTGCCATGGGTTAACTTGCTGAGATGACCGAGATGACTGGCTGAGATGACCGAGATGACTGGCTGATGAATCACCTGTGCCGCCTAATGTGCTAACTTGCTGTTTTAGCTGCCCGGCGCTCCGCTCGTTGTTGTGAGCGTCGCTCCTCCGCCCTCCGTTGTTGTTGGAGGGCGACTGCCTCCAACTGACCAGTAGCGGCCTTCACGAGCCTCCTCCACTGAGGCCGATCCTGACACCGCTGGTACTGGTCATCGGCAAGTCCACTCAGCTCCACGTCCTCCTGTACCACATCACTCCATCTCTTCTCTAGCCCGTGCCGCGCCCGTTTAGCCCCCTCGATCCGGCCGAACAAAAGCTGTTTAGGCATGCGGTGGCTGGGCATGCGGGCTACATGACCCAGCCAATGCAGCCTGATGGGACCAGATCTTTCAAGGATTTGTGAGCTCCTCACACAATCCAGCCGGGTTAAACAATTATTATTATGTCATGTAGGGCAGTCTGCACACAATGGGAGATAATCTTTGCCAGGTGCTTTTCATGGTTTCAGACTCTGGATCGCCTTCAGTACTTCCTCAACAGATGGCACTTCAGCCAGCCACTCACAGGGGGTGACTACTTCTGCCAACATTTGAGGCACTTCAGCCTCAGCAGGGTCATCCCCACTTTGCCCCATGAGGTTTTCCAGGCCGAGGGATTTCCCCTCCCCCAGGACTTCACAGAAACGCTCAGCAAATCTGCAAACCTGTTCCTGGGGGTCGGAGATCGGATCACCTTTCCTTCCCCTAAGGATGGTTGATAAGGTGTGGCGCTGCAAGTTACTTATTTGATGTAATTAAATAGCGATTTGTGATTGCGGGCTACTGGGGCAGGACTCCATCTCCTCAGCAACCTTTGCCACCCACCACCCATCCCTGCAATGCCGCATGGCTCTCTCCGAACCTCCGAGTGAAGGCTGCGGTAAACGTCCTCATTCTCCGACATGTTATGCTGTAAGAAGGTGGGAGTGGGCCTGTCGCTTTTTCTCAGCCAGCCGGAACACCTGCTCCGTCAGCCAGGGTCTATGGGGAGGTCTGGACCGCGTCCCCAAAGCAGCCATTGCAGCTTCATGAGCCACAGTCCTAAACCTCGCCCATTTCCCCTCGGCAACAGGAGCAGGGCGGACGATGCCAACTCCAGCCGCAAGCGATGATGAAATTTTCACTTGCAACTTTCATCAGCTAGCCGAGACGAGGCCACTGTGGGTTTGAATGGGGTCCTGGGTGTACACCCACTACTGGAGTGGAAGAATGGCAGGCGCATCTTACAGATGACAAGTCGATGGTCAGTGGCCAGATCAGCTGGTGTCAAGAACATGGGCCCGCATCCGCTGTTCCGTCACTATGTAGTCCAGCAGATGTTCTTGCTTGGACCCGGCATGCATCCATGATGTTGTGTGGATGCCGGAACAGCGTGTTGGCGATTACAAGCCCATGGGCTTCAGAAAAGTCTAGCAGCCTCCTACCGTTGTTATTGAGCTGATCTGACCCATGCCTTCCAATCACTCCAGACCAGGTTCCAGGATCATGACACACTAGGGCATTAAAGTCACCCAACAGAATAATTATGCCAAGGGGCCACCCTTTAACTGGCACCTGTGATAGGCGGTCATAGAAGGCATCCGATTCATCCCTCCACCAATGTTCATCTTCGGTGGGGACGGAAGCAACCACCATCATCACCCACTCCTCGCCTCTGGTCGATGGGGAGGCGAGCCCGCATTAGCCTGGGGCTTACCGCTTCACACACCTCACCGCCAAGTTCCCATACCCCCTTCATTCTTTTGTTTCGAAGAAGAGCCACTCCCTGTTGTTTGGAAGTCTCCTGTCCCAAGCAGAGGACTGTCCACCCCTCATGGTGAATGAAACCAGAGCCGGTCCACCGGACCTCCTAAATATCACAGAGATCCAAGCGGTGCCGGTCCAGCTCCCTACAGGAGTGGCAGCCTCTCCTCTGCAGCGAGTGTTCGAACATTCCACGTGGCCACTTACTTCACACACACTGTGGAAAACAGGGGGAGAGATCATACAAACGCCACTCACTCACTCAGTGCAGACTTGGGGGAGATCATACAATGTCCACTCACTCACAATGAACAGACTAGGGGGAGATCACACAAACTACACTCACACAGTGCAGAACAGGGGCAGAGAGATCCCACAAGCAAGCTCCAACACAGAGAGGGGCCGCCTGCCCCCAAGGCACGAGTGCCACCCTGCCAAGGGCTGCATACGAACGAGAGAAGAGAGAGATCCAACTAACAATACACCAACCGGCGACGGTCGTGTCCCGCCGGGCCTCGGCGCAATCCGGCGCCTCCGCTTGCGCCACGCCCTCGCTGCCGGCGCTCCCGGTCCCCCCGGCGGGCAGGACGGGCGACGGCGCAGCCAAACTCGCCGCGGATTCTCCCGTTCCGTCCGGCGCTGGCGACGGCGTTGGGAGCCGGTCCACGGGGGTCGCCTCCCTCTCGCCGGCGCCCGACTCCGGCAGGGACAGATCCAGCCCCACCTCTTCCTCGGGGTCCTTCCGCTCGTGCCCGCGAGTCCTGGCGTTCTCGCCGCTCGCGCCCACAGAACGCTCCTGCGCTCGGCCGGGCGAGCTCGCCCCCCCCTTCAACCGCGCGGTCGCCACGGCGCCGCCGGCGCCATCAACGACCCCGTTGCCGGCGCCGCATTCGTCCACACTCATCCCGGCGGCGACGGCACCGTCTAAGTCCCAGGCGTGACCCTTCGCGGCAGCGGCGGTGCCGGCGTCGTCCGGGGAGGCGACCTCGGGCGCCGCCGCCGGAGCCAGCTGGTTGCCCGCCGCCCTCGCGCCACCGGCGCCCGCCTGCTGCGAGCTCATGCTCTGCAGCAGCTGCGACATGGGGTGGCTCCCAAGCAGCCCGCCGCGCCACAGCACCTGCGGCGGGCCTTTCGGCGAGCCGGCCCTCCCGTCGGACGGCGCCGGCTGCTGATGCTGTTGGTGCACCAGCTGCTGCGCCGACTGCTGCTGCTGCGGCACCTGCTGGCGGAGCATGCTCAGCACGTCGGCGGCGGTGGGGCCCGACGACGGCGGCGCACGGTGGCGCCGGTGGTGACCCCCGCTCAGCCGGTCGCGCAGGGACGGCGCCGCGCCGACGGGGCTGCCGGCGCCGTCCCCGCCGGGTAGCAGCACGCTGCCGGCACCCTGGAAGACGCCGCGCTTGCTCGGGAGGTCGGTGCCGCCGGGCTGCTTGCCCTGGTTGGCGAGCTGGGCCTTGGCGGCGGCCGACAGGAGGCTGCTGGCCGGGTAGGAGGTCGGGTTCTGTTGACTCAGCACCTGGAGAAGTAGAAGTGAGTGAGAGTGTGAGCGAGCGAGTGGGAGGAGGGGTTCTGTTGACTCAGCACCTGGAGAAGTAGAAGTGAGTGAGTGAGTGGGAGTGAGCGAGCGAGCGGGAGGAGGGGTTCTGTTGACTCAGCACCTGGAGAAGTAGGAGTGAGTGAGTGAGTGGGAGTGAGCGAGCGAGTGGGAGGAGGGGTTCTGTTGACTCAGCACCTGGAGAAGTAGGAGTGAGTGAGAGTGGGAGTGAGTGAGCGAGTGGGAGGAGGGGTTCTGTTGACTCAGCACCTGGAGAAGTAGGAGTGAGTGAGTGAGTGAGCGAGCGAGCGGGAGGAGGGGTTCTGTTGACTCAGCACCTGGAGAAGTAGGAGTGAGTGAGAGTGGGAGTGAGCGAGCGAGTGGGAGGAGGGGTTCTGTTGACTCAGCACCTGGAGAAGTAGGAGTGAGTGAGTGAGTGGGAGTGAGTGAGTGGGAGTGAGCGAGCGAGTGGGGGGAGGGGTTCTGTTGACTCAGCACCTGGAGAAGTAGGAGTGAGTGAGCGAGTGGGAGGAGGGGTTCTATTGACTCAGCACCTGGAGAAGTAGGAGTGAGTGAGTGAGTGGGAGTGAGCGAGCGAGTGGGAGGAGGGGTTCTGTTGACTCAGCACCTGGAGAAGTAGGAGTGAGTGAGAGTGGGAGTGAGTGAGCGAGTGGGAGGAGGGGTTCTGTTGACTCAGCACCTGGAGAAGTAGGAGTGAGTGAGTGAGTGAGCGAGCGAGCGGGAGGAGGGGTTCTGTTGACTCAGCACCTGGAGAAGTAGGAGTGAGTGAGAGTGGGAGTGAGCGAGCGAGTGGGAGGAGGGGTTCTGTTGACTCAGCACCTGGAGAAGTAGGAGTGAGTGAGTGAGTGGGAGTGAGTGAGTGGGAGTGAGCGAGCGAGTGGGGGGAGGGGTTCTGTTGACTCAGCACCTGGAGAAGTAGGAGTGAGTGAGCGAGTGGGAGGAGGGGTTCTATTGACTCAGCACCTGGAGAAGTAGGAGTGAGTGAGTGAGTGGGAGTGAGCGAGCGAGTGGGGGGAGGGGTTCTGTTGACTCAGCACCTGGAGAAGTAGAAGTGAGTGAGAGTGGGAGTGAGTGAGCGAGCGGGAGGAGGGGTTCTGTTGACTCAGCACCTGGAGAAGTAGGAGTGAGTGAGTGAGTGAGCGAGCGAGCGGGAGGAGGGGTTCTGTTGACTCAGCACCTGGAGAAGTAGGAGTGAGTGAGTGAGCGAGTGGGAGGAGGGGTTCTATTGACTCAGCACCTGGAGAAGTAGGAGTGAGTGAGTGAGTGGGAGTGAGCGAGCGAGTGGGAGGAGGGGTTCTGTTGACTCAGCACCTGGAGAAGTAGGAGTGAGTGAGAGTGAGAGCGCGCGAGCGAGTGAGAGGAGGAGGGGGATTTTAGCAAGTTATGTTTGGGTGGCAGGGTAGCGGCAGTGATAACACTTGATAATTGTTTTTTTACCCCATTGGAACCTCATTTGCCGGTAAAAAAGAAAATCTTTTTTTTACCCTTCTATCTGGCAACAAAACTGACACCTTTTTTTTTTTACAAGGAGTCATGTTTTCATAGACCACAATACTTGCAGCCATAATGCAAACAAAAAACATAACTCTGATAATGTATGCACTGTCCTTGAAGTTGATTGGTCCACACCCGAGACAGCTTTCCTTAGGAGCCTAGTCTCGCATGAAAAAAAGGCGTCAGTTTTGTTGCCAGATAAAAGGGTAAAAAAACAATTATCATATTTTTTACTAGCAAATGAGGTTCCAATGGTGATAACACTTGTTAGCTTCGCAGCAAGAAAACCCCGAGTTCAATCCCCGACGACTCGTACACCCCCTTTCAGTGCGGAGTTTGTATGTCTCGCACCACGTGATCAAAGACGATGTAAAATAGTGTCGGGGACCAGAGGGCAGCCTCTGTAGGACAGGGGATGGCTCCGACTCCCGGGCACGTAGCTTCACCTGGGCATGCCCCGCCATCGTGAAGACCCCAAATGATTTTGAGCAGTGTCAGGGACCCCGAAAGCAATGAATTACCCACACAATCTCTTACACACACACATTCAAAGACAAAGATTATCCTTATCGCTTTAAGAGACCGTTGGGACAAGTACTAGCTATTAAGGCTGGCACAGCGCACGATGGGGTGGGTGGCCAGCACCACGCCCGGCCGCCTTTGTCTCCCCAGTGGCGATGTTTACACACCGCACCAGGTGCTCATTTGAGGCCGAGTCAACCGAGGGGAGGCCCAGCACCGGTTCAAATATTCGCCGGGTATGTAACCACTTGACCACCGCACGCACGCACACACGCACGCACACTTTCACACGACTACACACACGTGCCGGTGCTACGCCGCCAGACAGCCCACCGCACCTGGCACAGCGGTGTGCCCAGGAGGCCCGGCTGTTGTTTTCCCTGCTGCTGCTGGTGCTGCTGGTGCTGCTGGTGGTGGTTGCTGGCGTACGAGTGCGACGCCGCCGCCGCCGCCGCCGCCGCGCCAGGCAGACCGATGAGAATGGACGGCGCCAGCTCCTTGTAGCCAGCGTCCCCGCTCAGCCGGGGCGACCGGGCCGCCGGACCCCGCGCCCCGCCGGCACCGCCGGCGCCCTCGACGCACCCCGAGCCGGAGCGCGGCCTCTGAGGCGAGGCGTCGGCACGGCAACCCGCGGGCCCCGCGCCGTGGTAACCGTCCGGAGAGCCCACGTGGTGCTGCTGCTGGTGGTGGTGAAGGTGCTGAGACGTGGATGTCGGCATCGTCATCGACGACGCCGCCGCCACCGCCGCCGCCGCCGCCGCCCGTGCCAAGAGATGGTTGCCGTGACCGCCCCCCGATCCGGCGCCACCGCCTCCTCCTCCCGCGCCGCCGCCGTGCTTCATGGCGGTCGGCAGCGGCAGGTTGCTAGGCAACGGCACGACCACCGGCGTGGCGTTGAGCGGCGAGGGCAGCGCAAACGCCGTGGGGTTCACGAACTGTCCGCTGGCGCCGCCGCTCGTAGCGGCGCCGCCGCCCGTAGCGGCGCCGCCGCCGAGATTGGCGGGCCGCGCCGGGATGGGATCCAAGATGCCGAGCGGGTCTTTCTCGGTGCCGCCAACAGGACTGCGGCGCAGCGCGCACGCCGGCTTGCCACCGTAGTAGCCGTGAGCCGCCGCCGCGGCCGCCGCCGCCGCGGCCGCCGCCGCCGCGGCCGCCGCGTGCTCCACCAGCGGGAGACCGAACGGCGCCGCCTTCTTGGCGAACGGGCTCTTGGGCGTGAGCGTCGGCGAGTGCGGCACGGCGCCGGCGCGGCTCGTGGCGGCCGCCGCCGCCGGCGGGCAGCCCGCGGGGAGCAGCCCTCCCGCCGCCGCCGCCGCCGCCGCCGCCGCCGCCGCCGCCGAAGGGCAGAAGCCCGGGCTGCACCGGCTGCCGTAGGCGTCGGGGCTGCCGACCGACTCGGCGCAGGGCGAGGTGGCGCCTTCGCCGAAGAAGCACGAGCTGCTGGAGGAGGCGGCGCTGCTGAGGCTGCCTTGGCTGCCGTAGTACGGAGACCGCTGGCCACGCTCGCCGCTCCCCGCTCGCTGGCGCCCCCCGGAGGAACCGGGGCCGGCGCCGCCGGCGCAGGCGTCCCGGGGCTCCGGCGTGCCGCCGAGAGACCACTCGGAGCTGCCGAGCCGAGGCCGGGCGCCGGCGGGCACGGGCGGCTCGGGCGCCGCCTCGCACGGCCGCGCGGCGTTGGCGCCGTGGCCGGCGCGCAGCCGCGACAGGAAGGAGTTGGCGCGCGCCGAGAGGCATGAGGGGAAGAGCAGCTCGGCGCCCGGCTTGGGCCGGCCGGAGCGGCCGCCAGGCCCGGTGCTGCCGCCGCCGCGTGGCGCGGGACGCACGCCGCCCTCGCCTGCAACGGGAGGGGAGGTCAGCGGTGGCGCCGTGGCGGTGGTGGTGGCGAGCGGGCCCACGTGCCAGTGGCTCGGCGCGTGGCAAGTCACTCTCCGCCCGACCGACCGACCCATCCACCGCATCTACCCAACCGACCACAACGATCGCGCGGCCATTCACACCGGCCCTCGCACTCACCAGCAGAGGAGAGCACCATGGCGGTGGCGGTCGTGGTGCGGTGATGGTGGTGGCGGTGGTGGTGCCCTCCCGTCTCCATGCTCTTGTGGAGCGTTGCCATGGCGATTATCTTCCGCTTGTGGTTGCACAGCTTGGTCATGTCGGCGTCCGCCTTCACGTCCTCCGCCGAACGCGGCCGCACCGCAGCTCCGCGCTCAAAGTTGAACACCTGACCCAGGTGCGCGGGGGGGGGGGGGGGAGATTGTGTATGGGTCTGTGTGTGTGTGCGCGCGAGAACATCGCCACTGGGGAGACAAAGGCGGCCGGGCATAGTGCTGGCAACCCACCCCCCCCATTCTGGCCTTCGTAGGTGCTCGCTAACAGCACTTGCCCCACAAAGTATGCCGAGGCTATACGGGGGATCTTTGCCGCTGTGTACAGGTAGCGCCCTCCAACAACAATGAAAGGCGGAGGAGCGACGCTCATAAAACAAACGAGCGGAGCGCGCCTGGGGCAGCCACGTCACACCGAGTCGGTGCAATAGGGAGCGCAGGTGGTGCATCTGCCGGTCATCTCAGGCGGTCAACCCATGGCGCCTGCTGGGTCTGTTCCGTGACCTCCTGCCATCATCAGCGAGCCTTTGACATTCCACGTGGCCGCCTGACAGCTGCACCTAGCCTGGCACAAGCGTGGTGCTGACGCCCGTTGTTGGTGCACGCGTCTGTTGGGCGTATGGGTCCATTCGTACGCGGGTCAGCCTGTGTCGCTGTGTCCATCTCTGTGGGTCAGTATGCGTCTCTGTGGGTCAGTATGTGTCTGGGCAGTATGTCTATGTGGGTCAGTATGTGTCTATGTGTGTCAAGTATGCGTCTATGTGTGTCAGTGTGCGTCTCTGTGTGTCAGTATGCGTCTGTGTGGGTCAGCACGCGTCTCTGTGGGTCAGCATGTGTCTCTGTGGGTCAGTATGCGTCTCTGTGGGTCAGTATGCGTCTCTGTGGGTCAGCACGCGTCTCTGTGGGTCAGCACGCGTCTTTGTGGGTCAGCACGCGTCTCTGTGGGTCAGCACGCGTCTCTGTGGGTCAGCACGCGTCTCTGTGGGTCAGTATGCGTCTCTGTGGGTCAGTATGCGTCTATGTGTGTCAGTATGCGTCTGGTCAGTATGAGTCTCTGTGTCAGTATGTGTCTCTGTGGGTCAGTATGTGTCTGGTCAGTATGAGTCTCTGTGGGTCAGTATGTGTCTCTGTGGGTCAGTATGTGTCTATGTGGGTCAGTATGCGTCTCTGTGGGTCAGTATGTGGTGTCTGGGCAGTAGTCGTGCAGCGGTTCGCGTGCTACGCTCCAAAGTAAGCTCGCAATAATCGTCAGACCGTGAAGATTAATATCCGGCCGGTCTCCGATGTGTGCCTCGGGTTGCCAAAACTGCCTTCCGGCCAATATCTGGCACCGAGGTGCCTTAATAAATAAGTTGCATTATTAAAACGGCTACTTTCTCTATTAAGCTGGGATAGCAAACACCCGAAGGATAATAAAACAGAAACAGAAACATCCGGGCTTCGGAAACTCCGTTCTGGAGAAGCTCCCAGCACGCGTAGCGAAACGTCGGACAACCACACACCGCAAGAGGCCGCACACGGCAGCACGACCGCGGACACCCCACGCGGCCACGATGTCGTAACGCGTCGCGACAAACAAAGATCATCGCGGCGACCCCGAGCTCCAGCCGAGAGTGATGGGGGTCCCAGACGGGGTCTAGACGGTGGGTGATGGGGGTCCCAGACGGGGTCTAGACAGTGGGTGATGGGGGTCCCAGACGGGGTCTAGACCGTGGGTGATGGGGGTCCAGACAGGGTCTAGACAGTGGGTGATGGGGGTCCCAGACGGGGTCTAGACAGTGGGTGATGGGGGGTCCCAGACGGGGTCTAGACCGTGGGTGATGGGGGTCCAGACAGGATCTAGACCGTGGGTGATGGGGGTCCAGACAGGGTCTAGACAGTGGGTGATGGGGGTCCCAGACGGGGTCTAGACGGTGGGTGATGGGGGTCCCAGACGGGGTCTAGACAGTGGGTGATGGGGGTCCCAGACGGGGTCTAGACAGTGGGTGATGGGGGTCCCAGACGGGGTCTAGACAGTGGGTGATGGAGGTCCCAGACGGGGTCTAGACAGTGGGTGATGGGGGTCCAGACGGGGTCTAGACAGTGGGTGATGGGGGTCCCAGACGGGGTCTAGACAGTGGGTGATGGGGGTCCCGATGGGGTCTAGACAGTGGGTGATGGGGGTCCCAGACGGGGTCTAGACAGTGGGTGATGGGGGTCCCAGACGGGGTCTAGACAGTGGGTGATGGGGGTCCCGATGGGGTCTAGACAGTGGGTGATGGGGGTCCCAGACGGGGTCTAGACAGTGGGTGATGGGGGTCCCAGACAGGGTCTAGACAGTGGGTGATGGGGGTCCCGATGGGGTCTAGACAGTGGGTGATGGGGGTCCAGACGGGGTCTAGACAGTGGGTGATGGGGGTCCCAGATGGGGTCTAGACAGTGGGTGATGGGGGTCCCGATGGGGTCTAGACAGTGGGTGATGGGGGTCCCAGACGGGGTCTAGACAGTGGGTGATGGGGGTCCCAGACAGGGTCTAGACAGTGGGTGATGGGGGTCCCGATGGGGTCTAGACAGTGGGTGATGGAAGTCCCAGACGGGGTCTAGACAGTGGGTGATGGGGGTCCCAGACGGGGTCTAGACAGTGGGTGATGGGGGTCCCGATGGGGTCTAGACAGTGGGTGATGGGGGTCCCAGACAGGGTCTAGACAGTGGGTGATGGGGGTCCCAGACAGGGTCTAGACAGTGGGTGATGGGGGTCCCGATGGGGTCTAGACAGTGGGTGATGGGGGTCCAGACGGGGTCTAGACAGTGGGTGATGGGGGTCCCAGACGGGGTCTAGACAGTGGGTGATGGGGGTCCCGATGGGGTCTAGACAGTGGGTGATGGGGGTCCCAGACGGGGTCTAGACAGTGGGTGATGGGGGTCCCAGACAGGGTCTAGACAGTGGGTGATGGGGGTCCCGATGGGGTCTAGACAGTGGGTGATGGAAGTCCCAGACGGGGTCTAGACAGTGGGTGATGGGGGTCCCAGACGGGGTCTAAACAGTGGGTGATGGGGGTCCCGATGGGGTCTAGACAGTGGGTGATGGGGGTCCCAGACGGGGTCTAGACAGTGGGTGATGGGGGTCCCAGACAGGGTCTAGACAGTGGGTGATGGGGGTCCCGATGGGGTCTAGACAGTGGGTGATGGGGGTCCCGATGGGGTCTAGACAGTGGGTGATGGAAGTCCCAGACGGGGTCTAGACAGTGGGTGATGGGGGTCCCAGACGGGGTCTAGACAGTGGGTGATGGGGGTCCCAGACGGGGTCTAGACAGTGGGTGATGGGGGTCCCAGTCGGGGTCTAGACAGTGGGTGATGGGGGTCCCAGACGGGGTCTAGACAGTGCGTGATGGGGGTCCCAGACAGGGTCTAGACAGTGGGTGATGGGGGTCCCAGACAGGGTCTAGACAGTGGGTGATGGGGGTCCCAGACAGGGTCTAGACCAGGGGTCGGCAACCTACGGCTCCGGAGCCGCATGCGGCTCTTTACGGGCTGCTTCTTAACGATGAGTACGTATGAGTACGTATGTACTCAGATGCATTGCGGCTCTTGAAATACTGAATTTTGTACCGAATTGGAAAGAAATGGCTCTTCTTGTTATTTTGGTTGCCGACCCCTGGTCTAGACAGTGGGTGATGGGGGTCCCATACAGGGTCTAGACAGTGGGTGATGGGGGTCCCAGACGGGGTCTAGACAGTGGGTGATGGGGGTCCCAGACGGGGTCTAGACAGTGGGTGATGGGGGTCCTAGACGGGGTCTAGACAGTGCGTGATGGGGGTCCCAGACGGGGTCTAGACAGTGGGTGATGGGGGTCCCAGTCGGGGTCTAGACAGTGGGTGATGTGGGTCCCAGACGGGGTCTAGACAGTGGGTAATGGGGGTCCCAGACGGGGTCCAGACAGTGAGTGATGAGGGTCCCAGACGGGGTCCAGACAGGGTCTAGACCGTGGGTGATGGGGGTCCCAGTCGGGGTCTAGACCGTGGGTGATGGGGGTCCCAGACGGGGTCTAGACAGTGGGTGATGGGGGTCCAGACGGGGTCTAGACAGTGGGTAATGGGGGTCCCAGACGGGGTCTAGACAGTGAGTGATGGGGGTCCAGACAGGGTCTAGACGGTGAGTGATGGGGGTCCCAGACGGGGTCTAGACCGTGGGTGATGGGGGTCCAGACAGGGTCTAAACAGTGGGTGATGGGGGTCCCAGACGGGGTCTAGACAGTGGGTGATGGGGGTCCCAGTCGGGGTCTAGACAGTGGGTGATGGGGGTCCCAGACAGGGTCTAGACAGTGGGTGATGGGGGTCCCAGACGGGGTCTAGACCGTGGGTGATGGGGGTCCTAGACGGGGTCTAGACAGTGGGTGATGGGGGTCCTAGACGGGGTCTAGACCGTGGGTGATGGGGGTCCTAGACGGGGTCTAGACCGTGGGTGATGGGGGTCCTAGACGGGGTCTAGACAGTGGGTGATGGGGGTCCCAGACAGGGTCTAGACAGTGGGTGATGGGGGTCCCAGACGGGGTCTAGACCGTGGGTGATGGGGGTCCTAGACGGGGTCTAGACAGTGGGTGATGGGGGTCCCACACGGGGTCTAGACAGTGGGTGATGGGGTCCCAGACGGGGTCTAGACAGTGGGTGATGTGGGTCCCAGACGGGGTCTAGACAGTCAGTGATGGGGGTCCCAGACGGGGTCTAGACAGTGGGTGATGGGGGTCCCAGACGGGGTCTAGACGGTGGGTTATGGGGGTCCCAGTCGGGGTCTAGACAGTGGGTGATGGGGGTCTAGACAGTGGGTGATGGGGGTCCAGACGGGGTCCAGACAGTGAGTGATGGGGGTCCCAGACGGGGTCCAGACAGGGTCTAGACCGTGGGTGATGGGGGTCCCAGTCGGGGTCTAGACCGTGGGTGATGGGGGTCCCAGACGGGGTCTAGACAGTGGGTGATGGGGGTCCAGACGGGGTCTAGACAGTGGGTAATGGGGGTCCCAGACGGGGTCTAGACAGTGAGTGATGGGGGTCCAGACAGGGTCTAGACGGTGAGTGATGGGGGTCCCAGACGGGGTCTAGACCGTGGGTGATGGGGGTCCAGACAGGGTCTAAACAGTGGGTGATGGGGGTCCCAGACGGGGTCTAGACAGTGGGTGATGGGGGTCCCAGTCGGGGTCTAGACAGTGGGTGATGGGGGTCCCAGACGGGGTCTAGACAGTGGGTGATGGGGGTCCCAGACGGGGTCTAGACCGTGGGTGATGGGGGTCCTAGACGGGGTCTAGACAGTGGGTGATGGGGGTCCTAGACGGGGTCTAGACCGTGGGTGATGGGGGTCCTAGACGGGGTCTAAACCGTGGGTGATGGGGGTCCTAGACGGGGTCTAGACAGTGGGTGATGGGGGTCCCAGACAGGGTCTAGACAGTGGGTGATGGGGGTCCCAGACGGGGTCTAGACCGTGGGTGATGGGGGTCCTAGACGGGGTCTAGACAGTGGGTGATGGGGGTCCCACACGGGGTCTAGACAGTGGGTGATGGGGTCCCAGACGGGGTCTAGACAGTGGGTGATGGGGGTCCCAGACGGGGTCTAGACAGTCAGTGATGGGGGTCCCAGACGGGGTCTAGACAGTGGGTGATGGGGGTCCCAGACGGGGTCTAGACGGTGGGTTATGGGGGTCCCAGTCGGGGTCTAGACAGTGGGTGATGGGGGTCTAGACAGTGGGTGATGGGGGTCCAGACGGGGTCTAGACAGTAGGTGATGGGGGTCCAGACGGGGTCCAGACGGGGTCCAGACAGGGTCTAGACGGTGGGTGATGGTGGTCCAGACGGGGGTCCCGGACCGCCTGTGCTCACCTTGTGTAGTACAAGGGGACACTCCAGGCCACACTTGCAGGTGCCGTCGGCGAGCAGGTAACTCTTCACCTCCTCCATGGAGCACAGCACGCTGCCTCCGGGACTGGATGCGGACAGAGAACAAAGATTCCCCCACCGCCACGTGTTGGCAGCCCCATTGCCGGCGATCGCTACACCTACGCTTGGTTGCGCAGGAAGGGCGCAAACGAGTCTCAATCATCTTTGCAGGAGGGTTCTGCCAAGTTTTTTTTTTGCAGGGAGGGAGCAAGGAAGGAGTGGGGGGGGGGGGGGGGATGTTGCTGCCAAGCATGCAACATCAAATTGGGTACATTTTTGCCGGTAATCATTTTTGGCATTACGATGTTTTTGGAAAATACCGATTACATTGTGTGTGTGTGCGTGTGTGTGTGGGGAGCGATAGTGCAGCGGTTAGCGCGCTGCGCTATGAACCCGGCGACCCGGATTTGATACCCGCTCATGGTCAACTCCGGTGACGATAATCCGATCCGATCTCGGGCCTCCCCTCAAATGAGTACCTGGCGAGGTGCGTAAACATCGCCACTGGGGAGACAAACGCGGCCGAGCGAGGTGCCGGCCACCCGCCCCCTCGTGTGCCGCCCTTCATGAGGTGCCGCTCGCTAACAGCGCTGCCCCCCCCCCCCCCCCCCCCCCACAGTCCGTGAAAGACGACACGGGGGATCCTCGCACCTGGTGTAGGTGACGGCGTGCGACTCCACCTTGCGCTGCCACCCGACGGGCACCATGACCGCCGCCACCACCAGCACCTCGTGAGCGCCGGATGTCTCGCCCTCTTTAGCGCCATTCATGTCGCCGTGACGACTGCGCCGCCGCCGCCGCCGCCCCGCCCCCCCGCCAACCCGCTCGTTCCCGCTCTCCGGCTCGGCTCCCTTCCAGCTCGCCCTCTCCCGCCCGCCCACACAACCCGTCCGCTCGCCGCCCGTCCGCCCGCGGTCCGCGCTGCGTCTCACGTCATGCTGGCGCGCTCGCCCCGCGAGCTGGCGCCGCCACGCGATGGCCGGAGACGCGGCGCCCCGCTGGGACGTGTCGCTGCCGTCGCCGACCCGCTGCTGCGGCCCGCCGCCGTCGCCGTCGTCGCCAACGACGACGACCGGTCGGAGACGATTCTCGTACTTCCAAGTCTCGTTCCCCTGCCCCCCCCCCCCCACACCCCTCCACAACCACCGCACCGGCCGAATCGATGCCGGCTTCTCAGCGGCGGTGCGGGGTCAACGGCGTCATCGCGACGGTGGATCGCCGGGCGACGCCACACCCTGCCGGCGATTAAACAACAACGCCGACGCCGCGCCTCTCGTCGTAGCCCGTTCGTCAACGCCAAAGCCACCGCTGGTCGGGGAATGCGGCAGCAGCAGCCATGGTGACGAAGAAGCCAGGCCCCGAGCCGGCCGTGCCCTCGGCGGCTCGCCCCTCTCGTCTCCCCGATCGCTTGCGGTGTAGGCGCCGGCGCGTCAGATCTTCCGTTTCGGTTCCTTTGGTCCGCCTCCTCGTCAGGGCCGCGCGGCGCGGCACGGATGAAGAGGGCCCCTCGTCGGGCCGGACGGCATGACGGCACGGGGAGCGAGAGACCTGGGAATGAAATATAAATAAACAAACAAACGCGCACGTGTCAACGCGAAAAGATCCTCCGCGCGGCCACGCGCTGCGGAGCGGAGGCCGTTGCTGATAGCGGGCGACCGTTGAAAGGCCGTCCCAGTGCACACTCAAAGCGTCGAGGCAACCCCGAGTAGGCCCCCTGCACAGGTTCCAATATCATCAACCCACCAATGCCAAGCGTGGCGGGGAATAGAAACATCAGGCCATCATCGGGAATCAAACGAAGAATCGCAGCAATTAATTGAACCACGGGGCGGTGGGGGGGGTGGTGTGTCATCTTGCCTGTCTTGTTCATTCAATTCTCGTGAAGGTACATTCGCAAGCAACTTCCGCAATAGACTTGCGTGCATCGAAACCGAATCTCGCGTGCACCATTCCACGCGTGCATCGTCAGCATAACGAATCGGTGAAATCAAAGGGATCATCATTACACGCCTAACGAGTAAAGCCCCGCCCCCCCTTTCATTATTACGCTTGGGGGATGCTGCGGTGTCTAAACCCAATTGAGTAACTTTGCAGATCATTTTTCAGCAACGGAATGTGGTTTGGCCAATACCAGAGACTGACTATTGTCACGGGTTTTTTTATAGCTATGAAAGGAAACCGGAGAATCCAGAGGAAACCCCATGCAGAGCAGGGAGAGAACATACAAACTCCGCACACAAAGCGCACCAGAGTAGGGCATCGAACCCAGGCTCTTCTTGCTGGCAGGTGCACGCGTTAGCACGGTGCCACCCAACTCGAAAAACGACGACACGCCGCTGGAGGCGGCGGCGGCGAGACGAAGGGGTAAGAGCGGCGCGCGTGGTCCAGAGGTCGCAACCGGGTACCCGATACCCGTACCCTACCCGATACCCGGCTACCCGTACCCGGCCGGGTACGGGTACCCGTTTGCGACCCTGGTGCGGGTACGTGTAGGCCACGAGTCACTGCTGAGTAACCGTTTGTCACTCATTTCGGGTAGGGTACGGGTAGGGTACGGGTAGGATACGGCTACCTGTACCCGGCCGGGTACGGGTACCCGGTTGCGACCCTGGCGCAGCTGGGTACAGGTAGGCCGTGAGTCACTGCTGAGTAACCGTTTGTCACTCATTTCGGGTAGGGTACGGGTAGGGTACGGATAGGATACGGCTACCTGTACCCGGCCGGGTACGGGTACCCGGTTGCGACCTCTGCGTGGGGGTGGCGACGCTGCCTCTGCAATTGCTGCACTACAACTCTGGAACTTGTTGCCTCCTCTGAGGGGTCACGACTTGCGAGGCGCTACTTACAAATGTGAACATCGCGCCTAAAAAAAAAAGGCTTCTTTTGTAAAATGTCTCTCTCTGGTTATTTTCAAACGTCTCTTCTTCTCGACTTGGTTGTTGTTAACCATGTTCTGTCTTCCCATGCGTAGCGGGCCCCGAGAATTACTGCTTAAGGGCACTTTATACATTTACATTGTTGTTATTATTAAGCTCGTCCATAAGAGAGCTCCAGAGAGAGCATCTTCAGACGCTATCTTGGCCTCCTCTTTCAACGCTGGCCCGACGTTTTGGAAGAGGCGGTGAGCACCAACACTTTAATTCTAGATTTGAAGCTTTCGTGACTGCAAGAATTCATACTGTTATAATTTTTTTTTTCGGTAAAGTCACGTAGGTAAAAATTTAATTAAAATTAATAAAAATAAAATAATAAAATCACGACGTTTCGGAGGCAACACAAGTCTCCGTCATCAGGTGGGACCGTCACAGCCAGATTTGCTGCATCAAGTGAGGCAGGGATTCAAGATGCAAGCTCTTAAATACAAGTTAAGGGGGAGGAGAGAGGGGGGGGGGGGGGAGCTTATCACACTTTACCCCACAGCAGGCGACCCGCCGATGTGCTGCGGTGCAACCGTTTGGTGGACAGAGGTGGCCAGCGCGGTGGAATTTAAGCTGCCCACGTGGCAAATAAATCCAGTCCACCCTCGACCCGTCACGCGCACCACTCGGCGCGCACGCCGTCACGAGCCTAACGAGAGATTTTTAAATCCTTTATATTAAGTTCGCTTGCTTGCTTGCGTGCTTGCTTGCTTACGACCGTGCAAATCTTTCGGTCGTTTTTTAACCCACTTCCCGTGATCCAATCGAGCTGACATTTTCCACAGACTCGTTGTGCGTGACAATTTATTTTCGTCAAATTTTTTTTCCAAAATGTTATACTGTTTAGGGACAATTTTTTAAAATATTTAATTACCAATTGCTTAATGCTGGCAGACAATCATCTGACCCATAGGTGGCAGCCATCTCAAGCCAGAGGACGAGAGGACTCTAGCCGCCACGCATATAAAGGATTTAGAGTGAAAAACTTTGTTTTTACGGGTTAATTTTTTAAAACCGACGCGTCGTTCGGACCCTCGGCGTGTGCCGCGCCGTTTCTCAAAGACGCCGGCGATTGTGGCCTTGCCTTCCATTCTCTAGCGCCACGGTTGCCAGGAAATGTTAACTCCCTCGCCTGGTTTACAGGAGGTCGTGGGTTCAACCCCGACGCCTGTATATTTGGGGCTTGCATGTTCTCCCCGTGGTCGCGTCGATTTTTCTCCAGGCTCTCCGGTTTTTCCCCTCCACGTTTTAGATACTTTCGTCGATTATTTGGCTGCTACAAATGTCCACGCGCCAAACCAATTTGTTGAGGCATCGTTTGTGATAGCCAGGTCAGGTCTGAAAGACTCAGTGGGCCTCAGCTGGTAAAATAATATTTTAAATTGTTTATAGCTCTGCGTCGTGATATTTACTCAAGAACTCTGCATTAGCAGAGCCCGATCAGCACGGTTGGCTACGTACAGTGCAAAAGAAGTTCACACATATGTACAGTGGATGCTTCCAATTGCAATCCAGTTGTTAAAGTTGCTTTCGGTGAAACGTAATTCGCCGGCTGGCCTGGCTACAATCCCCGTAAAACACATTTATATTCGGTCTACTTATCTTATTACGTGTCAAAAGAACTCCAACTTGGCCTTTCTTTAAAACACTCAAAATGTTCTTATTTCCCAACTGCGCAATCGGCGTCCAGGGTCGTCAGAAGCAGTACGTACGTTGAACTTCTTTCGCACCATACACGTAGCCAACGGTGCCAAATCGGAGGTGCGAGACGTGACGAACAAGCCGAATAGATCTTCTTGGTTCTTTCGGTAAAGTCACGTAGAAGGGAAGTAATAAAATAATAAAAATAAAACATAATATAATAATATAATATTTATTTTTATTATTTTATTACTTCCCTTCTATGTGACTTTACCGAAAGAACCAAGAAGATGAATCCCTGCAGTCACGAAAGCTTGAAATCGAAATTTAAGCCGAATAGAATCCATTAAAATAAAATATTCTTATATTTTAATGCTGGCAAGGGAGGCCCTATGATAGAACCCATTAGTTTAACACGCTGTAGTAGAAGGCTCGCACGACCAATATTATCCACGAGGTTTTTTTGGGGGTAGATCGTGTAAATATAAATGTGTCGTTAAACCCGCCACCACCTGACACAACCAACTAGTAAGGGTTGTCACGTAAACAGAACATGCCAATTCGTCACTAGTACAGCACTAACCGGTGTGCTGTACTAGTAACTAGTACAGCACTAACCGGTGTGCTGTACTAGTAACTAGTACTAGTAACTAGTACAGCACAGAGCCAAGCCACATCATTTACAATCAGAGTACGACGTTTCGCTAGTAATTACAACTAGCTTCATCAGGCGACAGCCAGATTTGTGGAGAAGTCCTCCTGTTTAGGTCCTTAACTAGAAGGGTAGGTGTGATGACAACACTTGCGTGCTCTTGGAGAATTCGTTAGGACAACCTCGCGTCAAACGATGCGTTTGCGGAAGCGGATATATCGGAGCTACATCAGAAATCCCATATTCTTAGGTTTTTTCGGTAAAGTCACGTAAAAATCACGACGTTTCGGAGGCAACACAACCTGAAGACGGAAGCTTGTGTTGCCTCCGAAACGTCGTGATTTTATTTTCATTTTACTTTTATTAATTAAAATTTTTTACCCACGTGACTTTACCGAAAAAACCTAAGAATATGAATACTTGCAGTCACGAAAGCTTCAAATCTAGAATCAGAAATCCCTTCGCTCCACACAGCGAAGGAGTGGCGGCGGTGCCGGCGTGTCGGCACGTTCCCCACCTGCTCTGCCAGTGAGAGTACCGGCCTCGGCCGTACGACGGTCATAACCGATGTTTATTTCGTCAGCCGTGGCTCGGGAAATCGAACGTAAGAGATCACCAGGTTGGGAGCGAAGTACGGTCCACCGTTCTATTTCGATGGTGGATTATGATCGGGGGGCGGGAGGGAAATGTAGCGTCTTAGAAACTTTTACAAGGAATGGATTTTAAAATAAATTAAATCAGCGCATTGTTAGATCCCCCAAGGCACGAGTTAAGGCAGAAATGCAGAGAAGAGGGGGGGGGGGAAGATTCAAAAACGGAGTTTGTAGTCGTGACTTTTATGCAAAATTACGTCCATTTTTTTCATCGAAAACTACTGGGGAAAGTCGCTTGCACCTTTAAATA